CCAACAGGGAATTCAAAGGCATTCGCCTATCTTTCCCTCAATAAACTGATACTGATACTAATATCTCAACGACAGTCCTCGTTGCTCGTGACGGCGTTTCCGAGGATGAGCGTCACCTTTATTTATACTGTATAGAGTATACCTTTACTGAGTGTGTGTGGACAGTGTGGATACAGAAGGGAAATGCAGTGAGTGTGTGTCTGAACTCCTAGCTCTGATGCGCCGACCTCGGCGCGATGGATTCGCAAGTGATCGACCAACATGATGCCTGAGGTAACTGTGCAATCGCAGTGAGAATAGTTTGTGGTAAGGGTAATCATTTATGGGACGTCCGGTGTCTTCTCATCTGGAACAGTAGTGCGTGAGATGGTAGCCGCCGTCGCCGTTGTCACGGAAGTTGTAGCAGGGATAATAGCGAAGGTTGGGTTCGACGACGTCCACAGCAGCTGCGAGATATTTAAAGTGTAATTACCAGTGATTGCGATGTGGCAGTTGGTGCAGAGGTGACGCTGAGTATATTCGCGGGGCCCCAAACTGAGTGATGGTGGTGGTGGTTGACGTTGCATCTAAATTGTTCTCAACTATGGTGAGGGTTGGGTAGGCGACAATCGTCGCGTGGATTTTGGCACGGATGGTAGAACTGGTGGGGGTCAGCTGCGACGATGGGGACATCAGGAGTGTGGTCATAGGTGGCAATAGTGCAGGTTGTCGCTGTGGGCGCCGTGGGATTTGGTGCAGGAGAGACGACACGGGCGTTTCCGGAGACAGCAGGTGAATTTGTCGGGTGGTTGTTGCATCGGGTCCGGAGAGGCTGATCCGTGCTCGTTATGTTGCTTGGCTGTGGGAGTTTATTGAATAGGATCGGGTGTTGATATTGACGGTTGTAGGCTCATGAAACTTATGAACCACTTTTTGGCTTTGGTATCGGTGATCCTGTTCGCTTCGTAGAATGCTATTCTTGTCTTCACAGCTCTTATCCAGACATGTCAATCCTGATTGAGCTTCTCTCAGGACCCCTGGTGCTTGCACAAAATTTTTAGGGTGTCATTGTAGCGTCTTTTGGTTACTTTGTCGGTGAGTACCCAAAGGG